AAAAGAAGCAAGCAAGCGGTCTTGTTCTAAAACTTACCTTTGACATACCTACTCAAGGCTAAGATACTTCAAGATCTAGACAGAATATAAGTTTCCTTTTGTAAATTACCAATGATAGCATATATCAGATACCCAACATAAAAGCTCAAATTGTTTAAGTGAACAATAGCAAAGTTTTATCAGTTAGTGTTAACAAAGACCTTGCTTGTGATCACAAGCTACATAAAGTCAAACACTATCATGAGAAGAATCAGACATTTGCTTCTTAATTTTATGTATCAGTTTCTACTTTATAGGAGATCTTGATTTCCAGTGCTTGAAGGCTTAAATGTGGATATGCAAAATAAACAAATAAATAAATTAAAATTAAGAAACCCTTACCATCCTAATCTTAATGGACGTTAGGACTGTTGGTCCTAAGAAGAAGTGCAACTGCTTCTAACAACTATTTTTTGTGACAGCAGGCAAAGTATCACTGCAGAACACCAATAATTATATGCAGGAAAAAAGCAGTCTCACACAACTGGTGATGTGGGCATGGAGGGAGGCATCTCTAGTTTGTGGAACACTCCTTCCCAGAAACTAGCAACCATTCAGGACATGCTCTCCCTTTGGAGGGCTGGCCCTTAAATGAGCTTAGGGAGGGGTGGACCCTATTTCCACGTGGGTAAAAACTGCTTGCACCTGCTCTTCCTGGGTCAGCTACTCTCTTCAGCAAGTGCTCAATCATCAGTTCTGGCTGTGACATAACAATTCCCTTACAAGGAGCGAGGACCTACAATATCAATGTTATTATCAGAAAGCAGGATAGAATTTGGATGTCATGGCGAATAAATTTCTTATCTTCACCTGCAGAGCAATTGCTAAGAAGGGGCTTTTCAAAATTCACAAAATCCTTTTCCTGCATATACTGCAGAGCATCTTAATCTGCTTTTTTTGTCACTTCCACAAAGTAAACAATCTAGGGTACGTTTCTTACAAGGATGGTAGTTAATTGAGCTTCTCTATGAAATGAGCATGCTTAATTTCATAACTGGGTGTTATTCTTTATGTCTCATATAGTAACATGCCTTCAACTAACCTATTTTTCTATCAGAATTTCTGAAGTCTGAACCCTGCATATACTCTTCCCAAAATTTTATAACTATATAAATGAATTACTAGGTAATACACTCCTCAGAAATAAGAAACTCACAAAATTAACAAGATCATCAAAAATTAGTGGAACATCAACGTACTTTTAAAATTATTATCCCTATAAATCCCTACAAAGAATTTGTTTATAAAGTACTGTTTGTGTAGAGCATTACTTTGTAAACTAATTGTCATCACAACTGCTAAACTCTCACTGAAAGACTGGCAGAGAATTATTTGTGAAATAGTCAGTTAAATCATTGTGGCAGCATTATAAAACTTAAATGGTTGGTATCTTACGTTAAAAGGAATTACACTGAACAGTTAAGCTCTCCAATTTTAATTAAAGATGGAATTATCCTAAAATTGAATACCAGTTGTTTGTGAGTACTTCATGTTAAATTGAAATACTATATCCACTACAAAATGTAATTAGAGAAAATGAACACTTTTTTTTTTAAAAAAAAAAGAGAAAACATCCTGAATAAATGACAGTAAATAAAAATGATCCAAATATAATTTTTTTTCCCAATTCCTTTACTGTATCCAGAGTATCTTTGTCAGCTATCATTAAATGAATCAGAATGTAAGGGTTATCCTAATATTGCTGAATCCTGTGGGATGTTTTACCACCCTGAAAATTGTAAAGGATACAAAATCATTTCCATGAAATGAACAGTTTCTCAAATGCAAAAATATCTCATTTTATTTTTTGTCAATGAAATATTTTTCAATTCTAGACCAAAATGACCATTCTGATTTATTTTTTTATTTATTTAGAATAAATCTAATTTGCACTTAAACTGAAAAATCAGAATGTTTTGGGTGGGGTCTTTTCCTTGATTTTTTTTTTTTTTTTAATCAGGCATCAGAATGAATTGCGAGAAAGGAATCCTGATGGTAAAGACACAGTAAAGTAACTGCATGAGAGGATCTCTGCTATGTATTTTTATTCATAGAACGTACCTATTTCAGGGAGAATAGTGGGATTTTACTCAACTACCTCAGAAACGTCTTTGCTATTGTCCTGGGAGATTTTCTGGTTGAATTTGGAGGAGATCTAATTCTCAGGAACCACTATATCAGAAACTGAACAAGGAGTTCAAGGCAATTAACTCAAGGTGCGGATTGTACAGTGGGAAATAGTATGTCTTGCCTACCCTCAGACAAGTAACTTAGGCCCTTTCATTCTTGTTACACTCAGAAAGCTGAAATTTGAGAATGACATGACTTGCAGATGGGCTCTGCTCTGAAACACTAATGTGATGTTTTCATCTTTGTACAGACATCCCATAAATCCATAACTCTGAACAACTTCTGAGAAAACCTACAATGCAGACAATCAGACTTCACCAACTTTCTAAAAGGAGCTCAGAGGAGACCATGACAAAAAATCACTACAAAATAAAACCAAGAAAAACAACACCTAATATTCCTCAGGAACCCAGATAGAAAGAAAAGTTACAGTAGACAGCTTGCACAGGAGTACCACTGTGCTTTATAACACTTAACAAAATACAGAGTAAAAAAAGATCTGCAAATGAACTGGGATGAAAGAAACACTGATGATTTCTGTGGGATGCTGATACGTGAAAGGGTGGTTGATTTTATACAGTCTGATGGGTATAGAAGCCTCACAATGAATTGCAACACAAATCCTGAAACAGAACTAGAGAACTGAGACGTACTAGGGAGTTTGGGTAATAAAAGAAAGCTATATAAGGCTGAGAAGAGGGGACACCAGAATGCTTGTTTGTTGAGTGGGAGGCAGTGGTAAGAAAAACATACAGAGAGAACACCAGAATTTGTTCGGAGAGAACAAGCAGCAGAAAGAACCTTCAGAATTCAGAAAATGAGAAAGTTAAGTGTAAATTCTATAGCTGCATATATTTTGGATTACCTCCTCAGATAAAGAGTTGTAACTCTAGGTTGCAGAAAGTTCACATTCAGGTTTCCACAGCACGGAGTTAACAAATTCATTAATCTGTTAAAGTGATGCAGCAGAAGCACAAATACTCACATGTAAATCTGTTTCTGATTTTACAAAGTAGAAAAACTGCAATTTGAAATATTATTCTGCTTTTACTATGTTTACTGTAGATTACTGGTAAAACTATTCCAGAATGGTGTATCTGAACGCCAGCTCAGAATGTAGTTTACACAAAAGTGTACATTCACAGTTATCAACAATATAATTTGAAACAAATCTAGCAAAGTAAAGCCAGACATTTTGAGTTTGTTTCAGCTGTATAATGGAAAAAAAAAACAAAAAACAAAAAAAAAAAACTTCATTCAGAGCATAAATTTAGTCATGATCTGACTTCCTGAACACTTTGTAAGCCTTAGCTAATTAGTTCTCACTAAACACCTGCTGGGAAAACAAGTGATATTCTTCTAGTTTTACAAATGAGGGATTGGAGGAAGAATGACATTACTTTAAATGGCTTGCCCAAACATACAGACAATTAGTGTGGAGAAGCCTAGCTAAAAATGTAGCAGTGGGAAATTCCTACTTCTGAGCTCAGATTGGGCTTTTCTGCACTGTCCAAAACCTTAGCAATGCATCTAGGAGGGGGGATGATGTACAGGGAATCCAGAAAAGGCTGGAAAGATATTTCACTGTAAGTACTAGAGTATATATAAGTTGCTAATAAAACAAAGGGTAACTGAAGCACAAATGTACGGATAAGTTATTATTATTACTTGTTTAGCACTGGAAATGTGCTTGACTGCACACTGTGTAATGCAAATCTATTACAAATACTGATTATACAAAAAAAAAAGAGCTATTTCTGATTATGCATTGCAATCATTTTGACAGTATCTCAGGAATGTCTTATGATTGCTGTACAAGTACAAAGGAAACTGCGACTTTATATTATGGTGAAATTTATTCCACAGCTGCACGAATAAAATTATTTTTTCAAGCAGCAAACCTTATGTAACCTCTTAATGTAATGTCTACTTGCAGTGCTATTTCTAGCATCTCTCATTTTCATAATGCTCTGGAAGTCACTATGTAAACTTACAGTACTTTATTAGTAACGGTAAATCAAGCATGATAGTTACGTTGAATGCTCCAGGGTCAGTCTCTAAGATGACAACAGTCAGTAGTGCTCTCTTATTTCAGTGAAAATGCCACACAATTCACTGTGTCATCTGATGTTAAAAGGTGCTGAAATCAATTTGATTGTAAAAGGCAGAATAGATTATTGTTAGTCATCAAAACACACCATTAATGTAAGAAAACCGATCTAGAAAATGGGCACATTGGAGTGATATTATCTTTTTGTGTCATGCCTTCTGTCCCTTTGGAAAAGGCATATGGCAGTTCAGACAGATTTAGTAGGTAGAGGTGTGAAGACCACAATGCTCCCTCTGTCACTGCTGCCTCATGCAGCCCAAGGATACGACCCCGCCTCTTGGTGCAGGGAGGGCTAACATGGGGGTACAGAACCCTCTCCTTCCCCTTTGAGAATGTCTACATTTCAAAATCTTGCAAAAATTGCTGGTTGAAGTGATGCACGTGACAGTAATAGGTACACAGGATTACTGGCACATCAAGTGGACGGAAACCTAACTCTGAAATATATTCAGGCATTGAGAAGAAACTTCACTGTTGCTGCTTAAGCTGATCTATGACTGCGATTAATTTGCTTTGTAATTTTGATCAAAAGAAATCTGTCCAATTTTCTGGTCCTACTTCAGTAAGTCAAAACTCACTTTAATATCACACAAATCCATTTAGATTTGGCCTTCGTAGAATCAGAGAGAGAAAGAGAAGTATGTGGAAGAAATCTCTGAGTTGCCAGTGACAGATTTTTCTTTGGATTTCACACTTTTGCTAAAGACAGAAGAGACCTTACCGTAGCTGTCATAAGCCTCTTCACTTGTTCCGTGACCGTAGTCATAATATTCAGGCACACTGTAACAGATACAGACAGCCACATTACTATTGTCATGGGTAACCAAACCCAAACAGAGTGTAGAAAATGAAAAGTATTTTAATACATGGTAGCCCTGCTACTTTCAGGAATAATAACAGCTTTAAAAAATGCAAAGAGAAAGGTATTAGTGACAGTAGTGGCTATAACAGATGACAACACATTTCTTATCTGTTAAGCAGAAAACATAATTGTCTCTAAATATGTAAATCTAGGAGATATGACAAACAGTGTCAGAAATTCTATTTGCAAAAATAAGGTCTGAAAAATGTCTACCCACTTTATTATTTGCAACTGTTATACTGCCAGAAAAGATGTAAATCTCATTTATCTGTTTTTCCAAACATATATGAAGTATCAAATTCAGCATAGTTTGTTTTTTTTCCCCAAAACAGACTAAATTGTGTTATATGGAACCTGTAAACTACTTATCTTTACTGAGAGCACTGACAGTTTTTCAGTTTTTCTCCTGAAGAAGAAAGTGTGTTTCTATTGGCTGGCAAGAAAAGCCTGATTCTCAACAGCCGTCTTCCTTATGCAGTCAATCACACCCATGCAAAGTTTTACACAATACTAATATAAAACACATTGAGAGGTTCAAGGAGTACAAAATCAGACTCAAAGTAGCTTGGCTGTTATTATAATTTATTCTTTGCATTCAATATTTGGTACCTGCCACCAAATTCATGAACAGAATACATCTGCTTTTTGGCTGTTGGGCAGACCACAAAAGGAATCAGTCTCTGATCAGAAAACCTGCAATGTTCATGATATGATATTGTATTTTTTGTTTCTGCAGGGAGCCAAACAGAAATACGGTGCACTTGCATAAATATCTCAGACACAATATCTCCCTTGCCCCATTGGCCACCCCTTTTCTGATGGAACCCAGGACACCATTGGCCTTCCATGCTGCAAGTGCACATTGCTGCTCATGTTAAGTTTTTCATTAACCAGTATCCCTAAGTCTTTCTCACCAGGGCTACTCTGAAGCAGTTCTTCATTCTGTTTATATACATATCTGGGATTACCTCAACCCAAGTCCAAAACCTTGCAAAGGAAGAATACATCTTTTATTTCTTGAACACACCTCGCATTCTGTAGCATTTTTTGCAATCATTCTAGTAGCAAGTTAGAAAAAATGTACAGGACAACCAAGTGTGAACCAGCACTAGTGGTGTCAGAGATAAATCTCATCATATCCACAGAACTCATAGTATTAGGTCTAAGAAAATGCTTGAAATTTTCAGAATAGACAGATGACATGCCACCTAGCTCTGGTAGAAAGCAGCATGAAAAATCTCATGTAATACAATTTAAGCAATGGAATTTTGGAATGCTGTAGGCTTTTCTATGTAGAGAAGGGTGTTGGAATAGCAAACAGCATTACTGGAGAAGAAACCCAGAACACTCATCTTCTGTTAGTAGATATTACTAGTTCTTCCTGATATATTTTACAAAACAAAGTGACTGCATCCAAAGGTCAGCTCTCAAATGAATGCATTTTGGATCCAGTCCTGCAGCAGCAGACCTGTTTTCATTGGTCACTGAGCAGGGCCTACAGTGTTTACCATCACCGTAACTTTTTGCTGGATGTTATACGTGCTAGAGTAGGTAAAATTTCTTTGTTACATTATGGTTTTTGTATTTATTTTTATTTTTATTTTTTAATTAAAGAATTCTGAATCATACAAACAAGAAGAACGTGAGATAAAATCCCACACAGTGATCATTTGGAACTTAAATATATTAAATACAAACCATTAAAGTAAGAAACAAGCTGTATTGAAACTGTAGAAAGGAAGTGACTGGAGTGATCTATTGTGTACTGCATTTTTGATGTTTATGAACACAATCCTTAACATATTTATGAAAACACATAACTCATAGCACAATGTCTAAGTTCTCCAACTTTATGTCCTTACATAATACTTTCCATGGAATGAAGCCAAAATGGTGTGTCAAATTCCTTGCAAACTCATACTAAGATAGTTTTGTACAATAAATAAATGAGACAAATCTATTCCTTAGTAAGAAATATCTGATTTCAAGTCACATTTTGTGAGCCAGACTCCTTATTCATTAGTCTGCTTTATTTTAAAGCTTTCTGAATATTAACTATAATCTATTACATGCATTTATTTGTAAACATTTTCCCCTGTATTTTTTTATTAAAAATGAACAATGAATGTTTATAAAAAGTAGATGATAGAATGTGCTTCTCCATATGTAAGGTTTTTTTCTTGATTATTAGCATACAGATAAACATAATCATTTACATTATGCTCAGTTATGGAAGGAAACAATCAGCAAATGAATTCAGCATAAATAAACTTGTTTATATAATTTTAACATTCTCAGACTGTTCCTGGAAACTGTGATCATCATGAATTCTAGAAACCTCAGGTTCTCTTGGCAGTGCTAATTAGAAACAAGATATCATTATCTGTCATTAGCATTCATTACTTTCAAGCAACATGAAGCGTAATTTACTTAAGTACAAGCACCCACCTGAAAGTCGGATGCAATAGATTTTATAAACCAAAAACAATCAACTCATAACAACTTCACAGTTTTTATTCCTAAAGTTTTAAAGCATTGCACTGTACTTTAACACTGGAACTCTGAAACATGGACCACTTGATATGTCAAAACAGACTTTAGTAACCTTCTGTATGTACCAATTATTGAAGTGTTGATAAAATGAGACTAAGAAACTCTTTCACTTCCTCAGATAAATGCATGAGGTCTTGGTCTCTTACTGTCTATTACCCCCCTCTGTCTCTATATCATTTCTGTTAAGAAAACTGCAGTGTTTACAACATTAAATTCTGGTAACTGCTACAATTAGATTCTTACTTCCTATGCTAACAGGATCCTATCTAAAACTATTGTGTTTTGTTTTTTTTTTTTTTCATATGAGATTGCAATTGCAATACTTATCCCTCATACACAAGAGAGGCAGTCAGCAGGACTTACTACACAGTTGCCCATGGAAAAAGAATTGTTTACACAAAGCAGTACGCCACTTCTTGGAAGACAGGTGAGAAAGAATTCATATGAACTGCAATATTTGCAACTTTTTAAAAATAGTATTTCATAATATTTTGTAGCAGAAAAGTGTGGATAAATAAGTCATATTTCTAGGGATCTGGGACTTACTGGAACAGTTCTGTATAATTAAGCATTAAATATATAGGAAAGATAAGAAATATTTAGAATAAAGGAATTTCTTACAGGATTGGGCCTTAAATCATATGGTACTTTACAAAGTAGATCTTTGGAACTAATGGATTAATTTGGTGAACAATTTAGTGTATAAAATCTCCTGTTTTCTGAAAGCTAAATTTTGATAGTGTTTGTATTTTTAACAGAGAAGAATGCATTTATTACAATACTCCCAGGCTTATTTGGTTGCTCACCATATACCTGAAGTCACCTAAGTCTCATTTACTTCCAGTGTTTTCCTATTTGAGTTCATATTACTGCAGCCCTCCATTAAAAAATAAAGAATTAATCCAGAAGAGTTATAAAGGATAAGGGCATGGAGCCTTCCAGAATGCAAGATGACTGGGTTCCAAACTTTTTGTCAAGTTTGAAACAGAAACTAATCCACCTTTTATTTGCCACAACCACACAGACACATGAGGATTTCTATTCAAACAGAATCACAGAATAAAGGTTAGAAAGACCACTAAGATCATCTAGTCCAACTATCAATCCATCACCACCATGCCCACCAACCATGTCTCTCAGTGCTGCACCTACATGGTTCTTGAACATCTGTAGGGACAGTCACTACACCACTTTCCTGAGCAGCCTGTTCCTATACTACCCTTCCTAAGAAGAAATGTAACATCCAACCTGAACCTCCCTGAGTACAACTTTCAGTCATTACCTCTCATCCTATCACTGTTACTTGGGAGAAGAGGCTGACTCCCACCTGACTATAATCTCCTTTCAGAGAGCTGTAGAGACCAATAAGGTCTTCCCTGAGCATCCCTTTTTCCAGACTAAACAATCCCAGTTCCCTCACTTACTCCTCGTAAGTCTTGTGCTTTAGATCCTTCACAGCTTTGTTGTCATTCTTTGGACATGCTTCCAAGTCTTTCTTGTAGTCAGGAAATGCAGCACTGAAGGTGTGGCCTCATCAGTGCTGAGTACAGAGGTATGGTCACCTCCCTGGTCTTGCTGACTGCACTATGTCTGATACAAGCCAGAATGCCGTTGGCTATCTTGGTCATCTGGGCATGCTGCTGGTTCATGATCAGCTGTCAAGTAACACCTCAAGATCCTTTTTCTCTGTGCAGCTTTCTGGCCACACTGCTCCAACCCCTGATACAGGGAATTGTTGTGACCAAAGTGTAGGACCTGCCACTTGGTTGTGTTAAAACTCACACAATAGGCCTCAGTCAATTAATTCAGCCTATCCAGACCCCTCTATAGGGCCTTCCGATCCTCAGGCAGATTGACACTTCCTTCCAACATGGTGCCATCTGCAAACTTACTGAGGGTGCACTCAATCTCTGTGTCCAGATCATCAATAGAGATATAAAAGAGGGCCAACCCTAATACTGATAGGTGAGGAACACCACTCGTGACCAGTCACCAGGTAGATTTAATTCCGTTCACCACCACACTCTGGGCCCAGTCCTCCAGGCAGATTTTACCCAGTACAGAGTACACCTATCCAAGCCTTGGGTTGCCAGCTTCTGCAGAATACTGTGGGAAACACAGTCAAAAGCTTCACTAACATCTAGGTAGATTACATCCATGGACTTTCCCTTGTCTAGGGTATAGGTGGGTCAGCAGGTCATAGAAAGAGATGAAGATGGTCAAACATTCCTCCCACGTGCCTTAGTATAGCTTCCAGGAGGATCTGTTCTATGATCTTCCCTGGCACAGAGGTGACATGGACAGGTGAGTAGTTCCCAGTTCCCATTCATCCTTTTTACCCTTCTTAAAAATGGATTTGATGTTG